CGCGATTAATCGCATCCAAAATAAAAGTTTTTGTTTGTTTACATCATGTATGTGTACTATATATATATTTATTATGTATATATAAATACACACACATGCATGTATATATTTCAGAAAAATATGTTATTAAATATATAATATAAATTATATGACTATAAATATAGACATGGAAATACATGGAAATATTTTCAAAATATATATTGCAAGTGTGTGTATTTATATATACATAATAAATATACACAGAACACAACTCCCCAACACTGTATATATATATATATATATCACAGGGCTATTTAAGTGGACAGGAAAAATAAATAAATAAGTTGATTGAAATTGCATGGTAAAACGTTAATTTATTTATTTTATTAATTTATGTAGCGAATCAGCTCATGAGGAAATATGAATAATTAATCATAACTAGTTATAATTAATTATAAATATTTAGATCCGCTGTAGATATTTACTTGACCTCTCAGGGTCAACTGTCTGTCAATTCTAAGAACGTTAATTTCCTGGTTAAGGGAGATAAATTTCTTACTGTACAACTCTACACAGAGCTTGTAGCATAAATCTGCATGAGTAAGTGACTTCAGTTATGAGCAAACAATGAACAACATCAAGTGTGATACAAGTAAGACTTTATTAACTACATAAACACTTAAACTAGTCTAACATACTACATAAACACTTAAACTGGTCTAACATACAAATACACACTTAAACTGGTCTAACATACACATAAACACACACACACACACACACATACAGTTGGTATAGGAAAGGGTTAAAAGCTTAACGCAGTAAAGAGAAGAGAAATAAGAATATGAAACTATGGTACCATTTGATATTCAGCAGATCTACCGCCTGAAGGAAACATCAGATTCTTAGTTCAAACACACCTTTGTAAAAAGGTGCAAATGATACCTAATGTATCAATTAATAAGACTAAGTTTGAATACTTGCAAGTCTCATCTGTCTGAAAGAGAGGTTTGATGCAATCTGAAGGTTCAAGTTGATCTTTGCTGAAGTGAAAAATGGTGTGTCTGATTGGTCCAGACGCTACATTTATTCATTTCTTCTGCTTTTTATAATACACATTGTTCCAACACAGCTTTACAGAAATGTAAAAAAAAAAAAGCTTTGTCTCTTTTTACAGAGCCGGATCATTTGGCTCAGCTCAGCAATAAGAACCGGCTCTTTCAGGCTCCTAAACAACTCTTCATTAGAACCACTTCTGGCTTTTATAATTCAGCCAAATTTATAGAACATTATAGTGAACTAATCAAAATCATTCCAAACAAATCCCTCTCAAAATGGAACACAGTTACCGTATAACAGAAAGAAAGAAAGAAAGAAATCAGCTCTCAGACAGGAAACGACTCTCATCGTTCACTTAAAGGAGCCGGCTCATAGAGACACGTCACTACCAGCGAGTAAGAATAAAATAAATTAAATTAAATAAACCTGAAACTGAAAAACATTAGGATGTGCCGGTAGATGAGGAAAAAAGCTTGGGAGGAACCTGGGGTTGCATTAACCAAAAATGTACCAAAAATCAAGAACTACAAAAGAAAATGTAAGCTTTAATTTATTTAGGTAATCAAATCTATTAATACTAAGAATTGTTGCTCCTTATTTAGAAAATAATCTTTTAATAATAGTGTTTGCATTTATTGCCTGGCAGATTTAATGCAAAATGAAAATTCAGTTTACTGTTGTTACAACAAGTACTGAAAAAGAAGTGTTTGATCAGTTAAGTGAAATTATTGTTCATTCTGTGCTCCAGGGATCATGTGCAGTGGACAGAGGAGGAGACAGAGAAAGCCCGGCAAAAAGCAGAGGAGAACTCTAAAGAGAAGATTCCTGTAGAAGAGCAATGTAAGTCAAACCTTAGCATTCACACACAGTGTGTATAGAAAACAATCACCCCCTTTAAAATAATCACATTTTGTTGCTTTGCAGCCTGAAATGAAGACGGACACAGTTTTTGTTTTATCCAGCTGTATTTAATCAGTGCCACTTATAACATCCAAGTAAAATATATAACACCAACATGTCAGAAAAAAAAAATCAGGCTGCAAAGCAACAAAATGTGATTATTTTAAAGGGTGGGTGATTCTTTTCTATACACACTGTATGTGTTAAAACATGCCCCCTATTAATGGTTGCCAGCTTGTTTTTCTAGTTTGATGCCTTGTTGTTTTCTCTCCCATCAGCCAAATATGACAGAGAAGCTCATAAATATTGGGACCGATTTTATGAGATGCACCAGAGGAAGTTCTTCAGAAACCGAACTTGGCTCTTCACCGAATTCCCAGAGCTTCTCCCTCCAGACACCACAGGCTTGTGCCTCCCAGAGCAGGAGCAGGAGCAGGAGCAGGAGCAGGAGCAGGGCGGTGGGGTGGACTCGTGCTCCGAGTCTGGGAACAGAGAAAAGCAGCAGCCCTGCGCTTCCAGTACATTAACCAGTCATATGAACACATTCCCGGGACAGCATGCTGCTTTCAGGATACTAGAGGTGTTACAGCCAGAACTATTTATTTATTGCATATATATGTATATATATATATGTATATAATCATTTGTGGTGTGTTAAATAATTTAGGTTTGGGATTCTTAAGCTGTAGTATTGCCTTGTTTTGCGCTGATTTTGATTTGTGTGTTTTATGCAGGTGGGCTGTGGTGCAGGGAACAGTGTGTTTCCCATCATCAGCACCATCAGGTAAGAGCGTCATCTCCACTGTGAGGAAAACACAACCTCATTTCCTCAGAAGAAAAATCTCATTTTTATTGCTAGGATAAATTATGTAGACGTTTGTCTGTCAATTACCCTAGCAAAGGGCAAAAAGCACCATGAAGTACACTATTCAGACATTTGGGGTCAGTAAAGAAAATGGAGGAAAATATTTTTGAAAGAAATCCCTGCTTACCAAGGGATCAAAGTAGACTAATACGTTAATATTGTGAACTTGTATTACAGTTTAAAATAACTATTTTCTATTTGAGTATATTTTAATATGCAATTGTATGCATCATTACTCCAGTCTTCAGAGTCACACGATCCTCCAGAAATCATAATAATATGCTGATTTGCTGCTCAGCAAACATTTTTGATTATTATTAATGTTGAAAACAGTGCTTGATATTTTTGTGGCATTTTTTTAGAAACTTCAAAAGAACAGCAATTATTTGAAGTATAATTATTTTTTTAACATTATAAATATTTGTACTGTCTTATTTGATCAATTTAATGCATCCCTGCTGAAAAAAAATCTAAAAAAAAAAACGTTCTCTCATGCTCAAGTCTTCTGAAACCATTTGATAGCTTTATGTGCAGAACTATATCTTCAGTATGTAAGTTGTTATTCACGTTCTTCTTGTGTAATAAAATAATTTAAACTCATCAATTTTTTTAATATCAGTGTCTTTATGTATTTGGTAAATATTTGTGTAATAAGTAGGATATTGATACGGTCAGTAATGATCATTATGATTCGCAAAATAGATTCTATCACGGTGATCAGGACACAAAGAGGAGGCTGATTGTACAGTGGGTATAGAAAATAATCACCCCCTTTAAAATAATCACATTTTGTGGCTTTGCAGCCTGAAATGAAGACGGACACAGTTTTTGTTTTATCGTAGTATATTATGCCACACATATAACATTTTCAGTTAAGGAGATGAAAATCCCAAAAGTTGTGATAGAAACAGTTATTGGGAGTAGCATGTAAGCAGGTGTATTTGTGTATTTCTAGGGGCAGTAAGGCGTTTCTGTACTGCTGTGACTTCTCATCTCAAGCGATTGAGCTCATCCAGGTAAATGACAGTCACATGTCTCTGCTCCTCAGTGCACCTTTACATCAAACAGAGCCCACACACATCCCAGATTTACATTAGCCAAAGCCTTTGAGAATGGATGAAGACGGGGAGGGCAACATATCCTGTTCTCCATTAATATTAATGACGGCTGATCAGTCGTGTGGGAGTTTGGCTCTGTCTCCTGGTGCTTGATGCTTTTTGGTATGCAGAGACCTTCATCAAATGCCAACAGCAGAACATATTGAATAGTGGGGGAAGTGACATCCACAGCGTGCCGACAGCGGCATTTCTATTCCATCAGTATATGCTTGAGTTTGAGTAAAAACACGTTTTACTTTAAAAACTTTTTTTTTTTTTTTTTACATTTTTCTGTTCATATTAAGCTGCTGCATGCTTTTTGGGCATTTGAAAAGGTTGGATTTTTTTTAACATCATCATAACAGAAATTCTAATGAGAACAATAGTCTGATTATTTGAATCTTTGGTGTCCTTCTTTGTTCATTGTTAAGGAATATTTTATAAAGCATTTCTGAAAATATACATTTTAGATGTAACTACAAACTTTTAAAATTATTTAATAAAGTGTTTTGATAGTAGATTACAATATTCAACAACAAAAAATATGAATATGTTTTCAACACTGATAATAATAAGAAATGTGTCTTGAAGACTGGAGTAATGGCAAGAATAAAGTACTCTTAAAAAAAAAAAAAAAAAAAAAAAAAAACTAAATCACAATGTACTGCTAATATGAAAGAATGTTCAATATTCATTTGTTTTCCCATATTTTGAATCACACATTTCATTGTTTTATATATAAAACAGTTATTTTTATTGTAATAATATATCACAATATTACTGTTTTACTGTATTTGTAATTAATTATATGCAGCCATATAAGCTTAAACGACCTAAGATAACTAAGTCGTTTAATGTTTATTTATTTATTGATAAAACAAGTTATTAAACAGCATTTCTCTGCTTAAAAATATGTAATTGAGTATATACAATATTTGAAGTACCACTCTATATTTAATGGTAGTACTGAATTTAATTTATGCTGGTTATAATTTTAATACAATTCTTCATATGCTTCATTTCTATGCTTTTTAAGTAAAATAAAAAATATATATTTAAGTAATTTTATTTAGTGTATTTAAAATGTATTAAAGCAATATCATTCCCATGTATTTATGTAATTAAAATGTCAACAGCTTTCGTATTAAAATAAATGGAACTCGTACCATTTGTTAGTTGTATTAGTATGATAAAATGTTTGCAATTCCACGAAGGCAAAATCTAAAATGCTTCTCAAAAACGGCAGTCGTTTGAGGACAGTTGTGTATGTTTTCCCCTTGCAGGAGCACCCAGACTATGACCCTGCAGTGTGTCACGCATTTGTGCGGGACATTTGTGACACGGCGTCCCCATTTCCCTTCCCCCCCGAGAGTCTGGACATTATTCTGGTGGTCTTTGTGCTCTCTGCCATCCACCCAGTACGGTAACACATTCATTATGTGAACACTGTAACACACTTGCCCAGCATGCACCTGACATTAGAGTCTGTTTATTTGACCAGTGTCCTCGCTTATAGCAGCCATTCCCACTTTACCCTGCTGTTGTGTCCTTCAGTCAAATTTACCTATTGCAACATGTATTTAACATCTTTAAAATATACATTAAATAATCATAAGCATGTTTTTATTTGATCATTACACTACTTTTATGTTTTAATATTTAGAAGTGTGATTATACAAACTTAACATCAGGCCAGTCCATAGGTTTATGTTAAAACATGATGAAGTTCATTCTTAGATTCATTTCTCTTGGATTCAATGGATGTAATTTGGACATGATTGTGTTATCAGGACCAACATTGTAGCTTCAGAAGTTATGTAAGAAATCTTCAAACATAAACATGATCTTGACAGCTCTGTAGCAGTGTTATGGAAAATGTAGTGTTTGAGATGGTCAGTTTACATACTTTGCCAGAGCTCTGGAGTATTTCTGATTTGTTCCATGTGAAGTAAGTGCAAATGTGAAGCCCTTGAATAAGCTCAGATTGTCTGCACTTGTACTCGCAGTTACCCCAGACCAGTGTCTCTAGCCTCTCTTCTTACTCTGAGAGGTTTTGAACTATTGTTGTTTCCTCATCAGATTCACAGATAAATCATAAAGTTTTATACATTCCTTCAAATGTTCAATACTGAATCTGGAGTCCTTGTTTGAGTTATTTATACAGTGCACTTATTAGTTACCATGGGCTGAAGAATCTGGATCAGGTTTACTTGGTGATAGCTTATGAATGAAGCCTTACAGTAATTTCAGGGAACATATCTGACATTATATCACACACGCACACACACACACACACACACACACACATGTCTGGTCAGCTATCCTTGTGGGGACTCTCCATAGGCGTAATGGTTTTTCTACTGTACAGACCGTATTTTCTATTGTCCTACACCAACCCTACCCCTAAACCTACCCCTAGATACATACAATTTGTTTAGTTTAACTTTATATGCAAAAATAACTAAAGCTAAAACTTAAATAAAATTAATAAACTATGTAACTATAAATCTATATATAGATAAAAAAAAAACACACAATAAAATGACTAAAATTTTTACTAAAACTATCATGAAAACAAGATATAAAAATAAAAAGGCATTCAAAAAGATTATTATAAAATGGAGAGTTCCGGTCCTTGATTCTGATTGGCTGAGCCACGTTCGAAGCTGTTGTAAATTACATCTTTATAGATGTGTTAGAGTGAATTCGCTTTAATAGCAAACTATAATTGCACCTTAATTCTATTTTTAGACACTAAAATCTATTTCGTTATATTTAGAAACCTTTAAAAGAGATCCAAAAATGAACATTCTGTCATCATTTCATTCACCCTCATTTTATTTCAAACTCATATGCAGGCTTATCTTTTCCACACAATAGCAACTCAGGCTGTCAAGATGCAAAAATGTATCACAGAGATGAGCCCATTCAAACAATATGGAGACATTGTTGTTATATTCAAACTCATCTGATGCCACTTGTTGTAGAGACTTTGGGACTGTTAGGTTCTGATCAGGTAATGGATGAGTAAACCCCCCTGGGTGCCGGTCAGAGCACCAATAATGAAGAGACAGGTGATTAGCTTTCGATGGTGTATTAGTAGAGAAAAGGAAGGGCCACAGAGGTACAATCAAAGGTGTAGATAGTCTGCAAAATAAGTACAATAAAGAAATGAATAAGCTAAAGATATAGATAAACAATAGTAATATTTACGGTTACATAGTGAAACCAAAGCATTCATAATTCACATAATTGGCATTTCTCTACTGAACATACAGTTAAATGAAGGGAAACAAGGTATTTCACAGAAAACTACAAGTCATGAGTGATCATTTGTCCCGATGAACATAAAGTTCCCATATATGGATAGAATCGTGGCGCATCGGAGTAACATTTGCATAAACAGAACGCTAATCACTCGTTCGGTATTGTAGCAGCTTAACAGAACAACATCACGTCATTAAGACATCATAACACTGATTTACATCTTGATAAAGTATGAATAATTACCCGTTAAGTAATATTCCCAATCTGAATACTACAGAACGATCGTTACAGGACATGTCTGGGCATGTTCATATGGTACATATAACACTGTAGCGATCACTGTAAACACAAATATAAATAAAATAGGCTTACTTTGTGGTCAGTGACTACCACCTTGATATTAAATCTGCAAAAATCCCCACGAACAAAGTGAAAGTATCATCCTTGCAGCTGACGGCTCGGACAGATCACTCAAACACTGCAAACAGCGGCAGTTCATCAAACTACACTGCCCTCTACCGAAGTACTATTACGACTCCAGTTTCATAATAAAGGTCCCTCTTACAGGAGCCTTTAATACACCACTAGCTTTATAGCATCTCTGTTATCAATAAAAGATGAATCTGTTTAAAACAGCTCTAAGCCTTCTGGTTTCCTTCAGCAGAGCTCAAGATGCGGTGAGGGCTTTGGCTGGATTCCTGAAGCAGGGAGGAATTGTGCTGTTCAGAGACTATGGCAGATATGATCTGGCACAGCTTAGATTTAAAAAAGGTGACCGTCTCTCGATCCATTAAACTCTGGGTCAGTCTTTTCACTTAATTAGTCATGTGTCAGCTGTGAAAACCTAGATACAGAGACCCTTTTTTGTGTATTCCATTGAAAATGCATGTTAAACAAATGACATGGTATAAGTGCACAATACACATTTTTTTTCCTCTCACGTTAACATTTTGTCTCTTGTACCTCTTCAACTACACCGAGACATGTTTGATTAACTCACACTGGGTTTCATTTATCATTATTATTATTACAAAGTTCATTATTACAGTGATTCAGTCAATACAGTATACAACACCATCAATATATGTGACCCTGGAGCACAAAACCAGTCTCAAGTCGCTGGGGTATATTTGTAGCAATAGCCAAAAATACATTGTATGGGTCAAAATAATAGATTTTAGAATATCTGAGTTACTTTTTCAAATAAGTAACGCAAGTTACTTTTTTTTCCAATTTATTGATTGACAGCTCTCCTGTCCCCATGCTGACAGAAATCAGATGTTGTTACGGTAGTTCTAAAATAAATCTGAATATGCATTAATTCATCTCACTTAAATTACGTTAAAAAAATATTACGTAAATGTACTTTCCCTTCAGCCTGAGGCTTATTCATTTCACTTTTGGTGTGAAAAGGCTTTTATATTTGCCAAAAATAGAACTTTTTTATTTTAAAAACAAACAAGCAAGCCCTGTGCAGATTTAAAAAGTAACGCAAAAGTAACGTAACGCATTACTTTCCATAAAAAGTAACTAAGTAACGTAATTAGTTACTTTTTTTAATGGAGTAACGCAATATTGTAATGCATTACTTTTAAAAGTAACTTTCCCCAACACTGCATATGACATTATTTTGTTTTCTTTCCTTAAAAATGAACTGAATGTGTTAAAGTGAAAACACCAGATTAGTTATTTTTCTTTTAATCTCATGACAGTCCTAATATTGTATTATTGTGTTCTATTGAAAGTTGATTGATCTACTCTTGTGTAACCATGCATGGCCACTTCCTACAGGCCAGTGTTTGTCTGAGAACTTCTATAAGCGCCAGGATGGAACCTGTGTGTATTTCTTCACAAAAGGTAGAACCGTTTCAGCCGATTTTTAGATGTTGTTGTTAAATTCCTTCCATATTATTTTTGAATTCCATCCCGTTGTTGGCTCGTATAAACGCCTACTATTCATGCTGAACATCCTGATCTCTTTACAGATGAGGTTCATCATTTGTTTTCTAATGCTGGTCTGGAGGAGCTTCAGAATCTGGAAGACAGGAGACTGCAGGTAAACCGAGGAAAGAAGGTGGTGATGCACAGAGTGTGGACGCAAAGCAAATACAGGAAGCCTTGTCTGATTTCAGACTGAGCGCTCAAAAGAACTGGGCTAAAGGCCTTAACTTGAACACAAAGTCCTATCAAGATTTTATGTGATAGACTTCAAGTATAGCAAATGATGGAGATATAACATTACAGAAATGTCAAGAAAGCACTCCATTTGTATGTTTCTTTTAACTTCCCATGTGCCACTATTTGCCTTTGTTAGGTTTCAATAAATTGTAATGAATGCGTTGTCTTGTATTGCATTATTAGGTAGTCGAGTGAATTAACATTACTGGAGTCTTGAAAGTTAACAGTAGTTCTTCTAAAAGTCACTTTAGCGTTTAATTAAAGAAACATGCATAATATTTAGTGCTGGGCAATCGCGATTAATCGCATCCAAAATAAAAGCGTTTGTTTACATAATGTATGTGTGCGCACTGTGTATATTTATTATGTGTATATATAAATACGCACAAATGCATGTATATATTTAAGAAAAATATATTGTTTATATATTAAATATATTTTTTTAACATATAAATTATATGAATATAAATATATACATGCAAATATTTTCTAAATATATACTGTATGTGTGTGTATTTATATATACACATAATAAATATACACAGTACACACACATACATTATGTAAACAAACACTTTTATTTTGGATGCGATTAATTGTTCACTAATAATATTATTTAATCACTAAAAAGCTGTTTGTTTGTTTGTTTTCTCAAGATTATTTGTGTACTGCTATACTGTTTTAGTATTTATTAGAACAAAATATGCAAACTGTCCATCCTCTCAGAAAGGCCAGTTTGATCCTTGCAACTTGATAGTGTCACAAAAGATTTTATGATGCTTGTTCTTCAAACATGTATTTGCTCAAGCTTTTATTGAATGGTTTGCGATGTGGTATATTTATGTTTTTATTTGTAATGTTTTACATGTTTGCAGTGGCAAATTGAGTTTCCAAGAAATACATTTGTTTAAAAAAAATGTTTATTTGACATTTATTTCACAAATATACTCCACAGTCATAATAATTATAAGATGTGTATCTTATGCACATTATGAGTCATTGTATTTGTAAATTACATTGCATGAGATCGCATGGGAATTAATTTTTATTTAAAAAAATTGTCTTTGTCATTGTATGTTATAGGCATAACCGAGTGAGTAAGTGTGTGTGTGTGTGAGAGAGAGAGTGTGTGTGTGTGTGTGTGTGTGTGTGTGCGCATGATCTTCAGAAATCACTCTAATATGCTGATTTATTATCAGAGCTGGAAACTGCTTCATATAGTTTTGGAACCTGTGATACTTTTTTCAGGATTCTTTTTTATATTGTAATAACATTTAGCAAGATTACTGTTTTTTTTCTGTATTTTTGATCAAATAAATGCAGCCTTGATGAGCAGAAGAGACTTCTTTAAAAACATTACAAGTCTCACTGATCCCAAACTTTTGACCGGCAGTGTGTGTAGTCACAGCTACGCTGTATAAAACGCACGAAGACGAAGAAGAAGAAGATTTAGAAAGTCTTTAATCCAACACTAGCACAAACGTTGACGAAACCGGACAAACTAGAACGAATCACTCAGGAGCTTTAATACACAGACCAAACAAGGATCATTAACGACAAACGCCTGAACAGAATGACACAATTAACTCAATGACACATGTATAAATATTTAAAAACATGTTTTAAAATCCAATTCCTGTCATTTTACTATGAGCAGCGGAGAAGAGTGTAATTTGGATCCGTTGCGCTTACATTTTTGAAGCACAAAGATCATGATTTTTCATTATCCTAAAAAAAACTGCAGTAAATATGATGTTCAATGACTAACAACAATATTTAGAAAGATGAGCGGACATTCCTGGAAGTGCTGGAGGAGCTTTGGGACGTTTATTAGATTGTGGGTGATAACGAGTATTGATGAGCGTCTGAGCGCGCCTGTGGGTCAGAAACACCTGCTGATCGAACCCCGAGAATACAAGAAACACCAGGATCTCCCGCGCATCTCTGCTTAGCTGATCGTGTAAATACAGTAATGAGCTAGTTTACACGGGCAGCACTGCTTTATGTTACTGACAAACATGAAGACATATAGAGAGCTACATATACAGCTCACAAGCAGCGGAATGAGCCTTATGATGTTTCAATGAAATACAGAGTTATTTTGTGATCTCATGACTAAAACTAAAGCTGGAGAAGTAATTCTGTTGGACATAGAGAGCTACATATACAGCTCACAAGCAGCGGAATGAGCCTTATGTTTCAATGAAATACAGAGTTATTTTGTGATCTCATGACTAAAACTAAAGCTGGAGAAGTAATTCTGTTGGAAGAAATATGAAAAGCAGGGAACGAGAGTGAATTCAGTGCTGTGACTCACATATTCCTCATCACAGCTTTACGAGCTGATATTTGTGGAACAAATGCAACCATATTTTACTGAATTCTTCATAATCTGTCAGCGGGTGGAGATTTCTCACCGATGATGACTGCCTCACGGGCCGAGATCCATCAGAAAACGAGCATTTCGTGCAGAACACGATTGCAATAAAACGCTGGTGGCTCTCGGCTAACTGGAGATCAGCGGAAACGTGTAATAAAAACACACGCTGAGGCTCTGGATCATGATGCCAATCTTTACAATCATCCTAGATGTTGAAAACGACAGGTGATTCTACAGAAGTGTGTCTGTGTCTGTGTG